CTAGACCATTGAACTATAAATAAGCTATTCAATGTGGCCATCTAGTGGCCAAAGTAAAAATAACTTCATAGTTTGGTATTTGTACATAGTGACTCATCATGTATGTATCCACTTTGTGCCTTTTGCCTACTTTCTACCACTTAAAGCAATTTTGCTCACGTATATTCAGCTATTCAATAGTAATAATACCTTATGTATTACCATTTTACTAAACACATCCATATGCTCATTTACATTTAATACACACACATAAACACATCATGAGACAATATTTTGGTACTATTATCCCTATCTTACTAGTCAGCAAATTTAGATTCAGAATGTTAATTAATTTTCCCAGAGTCACATGGTAATTATGTAAAAAAAACCTGGAATTGATCCGAAGTTAGACTCCTTATTCGTTAGGCAAATATGGAAAAAACTGGAATTGAATCCAGGACTTTTGGCTTCAAACACATTCTCCTATTGTAGAATTTATCACATTGTTTTATAATTATTTATTTCTTTGTTTATAATCCATCTGTGTTTTCCCATTGCCTAACACAGTGCCTGACACACTGGATGTGTATATGATACATGTTTGATGATAAATGTCATAAATGATTGTATAATCATTAAGTTATATCACGAAGAACAGTTTGCCTCAAACTGGTGCACTGTATCATTGGCATATCTTCATCCTTGTCAGCTAATAACCTCCTCCCATTCATCAATTCAAATATTTCTTTCTCGTAAAACATTCCCCAGTGTTTACCCAGGCAGAGATCAATACTTCATTGCATTCTCCAGCTCCCCGGACACAGTTTGTTTCAACTCTTGTCACATTTCTGGAATTATTTGTTTACACATCTGTCCTCTGCAGACTGTGAGATTTTGTCAGCATTTCAGGCCGAAGGAGCAGCAGTATCAAAGCAGCCAACTCTCAATGAATGTGGCTGGCAGTTTGCGTCATGGTTTGTACCCTGATGTGAGCGACGCAGTAAGATTAGGCAAAGCCCGATGATACGCTGATGAGATTAGATTTTATAGACTGCTGTCTTCAAAACCACTAGGGGTACATAAACCCTTTCCAATGGTTATGCAAGGAGAGTTTTATAAGAATTGATTCCTAACTTCTCAATTTCCGTTTGTATTATCTCCTAGAAATCAGCTACCTGCTCTCAAGGCACTTCCCTCCTCAATCACTCTTCTCCCACTTTACTCCAAAAGGCAAACTCCTCACCCTTCCCCAATAAAATAAAATCTTACTGTGGAATATTGCCAAGGGGGGGAGGGGCTAGGTTCCAGGATAGCAAACACAAAAGGATAATTTAAAATATTGATGAAAATATTGAGGAAGTGAATGGCCACCTAGGTGCTTTCCCATGATTTGCTCTTAGCAAAATTGAGTTTTAAGCTGGTAGATCATTAAAAATGATTTTTGACAATAAACACTATGTGATTTTTGGCACACAAATTCAGAAGAGTTACAGTAATTGAATATAGAAAGAATGCTTGCATAATTAATAAAAATAAAAAATAAAAAATCTCCTTCCGTTGCCATCTGAATATACATGTGACCCAGACATCTTTCTCCAACTTTATAAATAGAAAAAAATAGGAGTAGAGTTGATCTTCCGTCCTTCTAGGTAATAGTAACAGTAATCATGAATAGATACAATTTTGTGATGAAAGAAAGCCACATTGATCTCTTTAAGAGGTACATTTCTAATTAAATTTTTTGCTTTTAACATTTAACAAAATATTTGATCAATTGTATCCTATAATATTATACATTTTAGTAATTCAATCCATAAAACAATTTTTTTAATGTCACCCTTTAAATATGAATGTGTACATAGTTTTTCAAAATTCTATTAGGAGAAACACTAGAAAAAAAATTGAAGATCCTTGCTGTGGACCATGGACAGCCACGGAAAGTGTGATCAGCTTTGCACCATCTCAGTAGTGACTGATTTTCCCACTCGGGCCTGGCTCCAAGCTTGGAGTCCCAGGCACTCTTGCAAGAATTCAAAGAGGCTCACTTTGCCTTTGTAGAAATTGCTCTTCCAGCCAGAAATGCCTTTTCCAGTCTTTTCTGTTCCTTAATACCTATCCCATATTTTGTGAACCAACTTAAGTTTTATCTCTTTTATTTTATTTATTTATTTTTGAGATGGGGTCTTGCTCTGTGGCCCAGACTAGAGTGCAGTGGCAACATCACAGCTCGCTGCAACCTTAAAGTCCTGGGCTCAAGCCATCCTCCTGCCTCAGCCTCCTGAGTAGTTGGGAGTACAGGTGTTCGCCAAGATACTGGGCTAATTCGTCTTTCTTTTTGCAGAGACAGAGTCTTGCTATGTTGCTCAGGCTGGTCACAAACTCCTGGCCTCAAGTGATCCTCCTGCCTCAGCCTCCCAAAGTACTAGGATTACAGGCAAGAGCTACTGCACCGTGCAAAGTTTTATCTCTTAATGAAGCCTTTCCCACAACACAGTCCACTTGGATTTTACTTTTCATGGTTTGCTTTTGCATCATAACCTTGACATATGATTACATATCATCTTCTTTGCCCTCTAATGTTGGGTATGAGTTAGTCTTAGTGTTATAAGAATACGATATTGTAGTCTACTCAAGGGTAGGGACCCTGAGTCTCTGGTCTCTCCTACAAGACCTACTCAGCATGGTGATAAGTAGGTACTTCATACACACCTGATCAATCTGCTGCTTTGCAGGGAGAGCACAGACATCCCTCTACCCCTAGTAGAATTTGTGGGGGAATAGAAGTCGCCCCCTAGTGGCAGCAGGTGGTGTAAAGGCAAAATCGTGGGTTTTGGAGTCAGTCGTGGGTTCTCAAAATTGTGTCCACCACGGATTGGTTCCTTAACCCTCTGAGCCACAGACCTCTTTTTCCAAAAGGAGGCGTACCACGTGCAGAGTGATAATCATGGGGCCTAATCCATAATCTGTGCGTTTCCCTCAACACGACACGCCAAGGGGAAGGTGAATGCTGCCAACAGCACTGCTTAGTGAGGGGCTGGGACTTGCCCCCAGGCCTCCTAACGACCTACCCCCCACACCCTCACTCTACTTCTCAGGACCTCAGTCTTATTTTCATTCTCCATTTGAGCCACTTCTTCTCTAACCTCTCTCTGTCCACTCATTCGACAAATATTGATGCTGATGTGTTCTACGTTCTCACAATTTTGTCGCCTTCCCCATATCTTCCCTACACCTTGTAGTTTTTATTTCAGTTAGTGTAATCACCCTCCACTCGTTAGGCAGGTTAGAATTCTCCAAGTTATGGTTAACGCCTCTCTCCCCTCACTCCCACATTCAACAAGCAGACGGATTCTGTTGATACTAGTTGCTAAATGTCTCTGCACTGGAGACTCCGCTGTTCATGCCTTTAACGTCGCCCTAGCTGGGGCCCCGTCATACTTTGCCTGAACTATTGCAGTAGCCTTCAAGCTGGTTTCCATGGCCCTGGACCGTGCTTTCAGTTCTATACTACTGCTAGAATGAGTGTCCTTTCAGAAGAAAAAGAAGGGGGAGCAAAAGGGGAGTTTAACTGTGTCACTTTCATGCTTAAAAAGCATGAGACGTAACAGATTCATAATTTACTGTTTCATACAGGAAAAGGTTAAAAAAAAAACAACAACCAAAAAAAAAAAAAACTCACAAAACACCTTAGCTGGAAATTTTAAAAGTCTGTCTTGGTGTGGCTTTATCTGGTCTCTCTAAATTTCTCTCTCCATCTCCTCTGGGCTCTGGCACCTCAGAATCCTCTCCCCATTTATAAACCATTCTGTGTCGTTTTACACCTCCATGCTCTGGTACATAATTCTTTGTTCTTCTGGAATGTGCTTCTCCTGCCTTATGCACAAAGGCTTCCTTTTCTGTGGCTCCAATACGTTGTGTCGTTTGTTTAACACGTCCAAGGTCCCTTCAAACATCTGGAGTTCTTCCTCTTAGCATTGGATGTTCAGTGTCGGCACAGTGCCTGACGCATAGTAGGTGCTCAGTAGGTGCTTGCTGAGTGAATAAATCACTCTCTGGGGAGCTACAGAGGAATACATGAATAATATTGTTAATTTTATTTTGTGTGGATTTGTTGCAAAATATAGGCATAAATGAAGACCATAGAAACAGACAATGACCCCACTCTTCTCAGCCATTCTTGCATGTGAACAGTTCCTATGCTGACATCTGCTAGCAGGCAGGTTACGGCAGCCCTCTACATCATTTTACCATGACTTTGCTCGGGCTGAGCTTTTGGAACCCTCTTTGACTTTATGTCTGGCTATTAAGCCAAACCAGATACAGCCGAGCGAGGACAAAACTGAGAGACACTTGCTCTAGTAACTCTCCCTGACTCACTCCAGAGTTCCTCTTTAGGAGAAAATTGAATACAATAGTTGTATCATTGGGGTGGGGCTAATTTGAGGGTTTTTATTCTTGTCTTTCCTCAATCTGCATGCCATTTTCTATGCTTTCTTTTATGGATAAATGTTTTCAATCAATCAAATTTCCTGGGGACTATGGGGCATTATTGCTCTTAGATCTTTTAGCTTTTAGAGCACTCTCGCTGCCTCAGATACTCTGGCTGTGATCCCCAATCCCCAGGCCACAGCGGGGTACAGGTCCATGGCTTGTTAGGAACTGGGCCACACATCACTGCCTAACACCCCACCACCACCACACACAGCCCCATGGAAAAATTGTCTTCCGTGAAACTTAGGAACCAGGCCGCACAGCAGGGTGTGAGTGGCAGGCCAGCCAGCGAAGCAAGGCTTCATCTGTATTTACAGCTGCTCCCATCCCTCGCAGCTCACACCACAGCATAAGCCCTGCCTCCCCTCCCCCCCACTCCCGTCCATGTAAAAATTGTCTTCCATTAAACCAGTCCCTGGTGCCCAAAAGGCTGGGGACCGCTGCGTATTTCCAGTGGAGAATGTATCACCTCTCTCGTGTCTGATTCTCCCCTGCACCGTGCTATACTTTTCCACTTTCTCTTCTTGCAGGGATTGTTTCCATTGCCACCCTAACTGTGCTGGCCTACGAACGTTACATTCGTGTGGTCCACGCCAGAGTGATCAATTTCTCCTGGGCCTGGAGGGCCATTACCTACATCTGGCTCTACTCACTGGCGTGGGCAGGAGCACCTCTCCTGGGCTGGAACAGGTACATCCTGGACGTACACGGACTAGGCTGCACCGTGGACTGGAAATCCAAGGATGCCAACGATTCCTCCTTTGTGCTTTTCTTATTTCTTGGCTGCCTGGTGGTGCCTGTGGGCGTGGTAGCCCATTGCTATGGCCATATTCTGTATTCCGTTCGAATGGTGAGTGGAAGACTACAAATGCCCTTCCCCCAAACCACATCCAGGGTGGAAAATTTTGTGTGGAGAAGAATCAAACTCCTCCCACATGGTCAGTAGTTACTGAACTGGGCCACACCAGGGGACTTCCCAGTGGGTTGAGTTTTGCACTATGAGTCACTCTCCGAAATGACCAATGAGGAATGGCATTTACTCTCCCCACGTCACTCTCCAAATCAAGGGAAGGAAAGAAAAGGTTTCTGGACAGACAAAATCAACAACAAAAAACCCCTACATTATTGAGCACTCTTAAAATTTAAGAACTCTAAAAAAAGGAATTGCACACTTCCTATAATTTTATTCAGTCACATGAACCCACTACTAGGGAACGGCGCAGATGTTTTGTCTGGAAATAACACCAGCGTCATAAAGGACGAGAACTGACCACAAACAGGTGTCACATTTGGTGCTGGCAAGAGGGACGTTTGAACCAACCAACCAAGTGCGAGGCACCCTCCACATCCCAGTCTCCCACTTCAGCCACAGATGTCTTCCTCGCTCACCGCTTCTTCCCGCTCTATCTGTTCTCTGCTTCAGTCAACACTCTCCGGTCTCTAGGGCACCCTGGCAGACCTTTCTAACTTTCACCTGTTGTTCTAAATTGTCCAATTTAGCCACGTGCATCGCTTTAAATCATGATTCATTGCCCTCAACTTCTACGTTCCTATTTTCTTTACACACACTCATTTTGTTAGAAGAAAAAATCCCTGGATCAATCTAATTATCTTGTTTCCTCCATGTCCGCAGTCAAACTACAAAGAGGAAATGGAAGAAAAACCACACGTGTCCATTCTCAGACGTCCTCTCAGCCCTGTCTAGCAATCTTTGTATCCTTACATAGTCCAGGCCCTCCACATCCAGGCTATTATAATACAAATCCTCATTTTCCACTTTAATCTCTTGCTCTGCTATCCTCTCTCATTCATATCAAATAACCATGCTTCTTATTTATTGGGCAAAATAAAGCCATTATCAAGGACTTCCTCAACTCACCGCCTCTGCCACAGCCCACTGATTCTTAGACCTCTCTCTTCAGTTTCAGGGTGTGACAGGAGAGTCTCCCGGGACCACACTGATTCTGTATTCCACTTGTACCCCTGTCCCCCAACCCCTTCTCTGCCCCAGGGACCTCTCTCAAGTTTATTTTGTCTTTCATTTGTATCTTCCATCTCTCCCTTTAGCATGTTACCATGATATTTTTTTCTTCTAAGAAAATCTACTCTCAGCTCCCTCAACTGTCACTTTATTTCTCTCCTCCTCATCCCTGCTAACTCAAAGAACCATTGGTGGCTTTTGGTGCCACATCATCACTCAATAAGCAATCACTTAACCAATATTTATTGAGCATCAAAAATGTACCAGTTTCTTACTGTTATAGACTGAATGTTTGTGTCCCTCCCAAATTCATATGTGGGAGACCTAATCATCCATGTGACAGTACTGGGAGATGGGGCCTTTGGGAGGTAATTAGGGTTAGACGAGGTCATGAGGGTGGGTCTCTGGTCTGATGCTATTAGTGTCCTAACAAAAAGACACATCAGAGATCGCTTGCTCTCTCTTCCCACATGTGTATAAAGAAGAGGTCGTGGGAGCACACAGCAAGATAGTATCCAAGAAAAAGAGCCCTTAGAATAAAATCTACCTTGCTGGCAACTTGATCGTGGACTTCCCAGCCTCCAGAACTGTGAGAAATAAATTTCTGTTGTAGTTCAAGGAGTTTGTAGTTTAGTGAATTCATCTAGCATTTATTCCTCAACCCAATGCAAACTGGCGCCTCCTTCCTCTACTGTATTCTCACTGAAAAAGCCCTCTCTTTAAGGTCATTGATCAGTTCCCAAATGTTAGACCCAATGGACATATTTCTATTCCTTTCTGGCATCTGTGGCATTTAAGACTGTTGACAATTTCCACTTTCTTGTGACATTCCCCTCCCATCAATTCTAGGACCTCTGCTGTCTTTATCGCTGACCCTCTGGTCCCATCTTTTCTCCTCCAAGTGCTTTTCCTCCTCGGGCCTCCCCAGCATCCTATGTTTAGGTCTCATTTCATGCTGGCCTTGGGTGATCTTGTATTCTGCCAGGATTTCTCCTTCCAACACAAGCTTGATGGCTTTGAAATCCTTGTTTCCAATCCAGGTCTTTTGACCTCTGTCAGAGCCTCATAGTCAATTGCCTATTGAACACCTACACTTGGATGGCCCACAGACTCAAATTCAACATATGTGAAGATTAATTAGCAAATTAATCTTTTGCCCCAAATCTTTTGCCCCAAATCCTCCACTCCTCCATTCCCTTTCTCATTGAATGTTCATCATTCCTAGCTCTGTACATAAACCAGAAATTAGGGAGTAATCTTTTTGAATACTCTTTATTCATGTCTCCCCCCAACAACCAACAAATGATCAATTCCTATCTATTTCACTTAAATATTTTTCAATAGATCTATTTATTTCCCTCTCCCACTGTCACAGACTCAGTTCAAAAGGGTCTTAGTTCTCCTTCCTTTATTCTTGCTTTCCTCTAATCCATCATTTGCTCTAATCCATTCTGTGCACACTGCCACCGGAGTAATTGTTCTCAAGTATTAACTTCAGAGGCTCCATAGTCTTTGTGAATAAAAACAAAGCCCCTGAGTATGGCTAGCGGGTTCTGTGTGGCATCTCCGGTCTACCTGTCCAGGCTCATTTCTTAAGACTCCCCTCCTCTTGCCACCTCAGACTCCAGACAACTGCAGTATTTCTTGTTTCCAGAACCTGATACGTGTTCTTTTGTCTCTTTGTCTTAGCATACTCCTTTCTCTGGAACATTCTGTCTATCCTCCTTATTTGGATAACTCTTGAGAGCTGACAGTAGGATTTTCCTGCCCTAACCCACCTTCAGAACTGGTTACCCACCCTACATACGCCCATAGTCTCCCTGGTCACCTCCTGGTCACCTCCCTGACGGCGTGTAGCACCTATTGAAGTAGTCCATTTGTGTACCTGTCACCCTTACCGAGTAGTGAATTCCTCAAGAACAGAAACTGAATCTTATTTTTTCACCTATAGCTGGGACGGTATCTGCATGTAATAGGTGACCGGGGCCTAATTTTGGAACGAGTTATAAGCAGAGGGCACAGAGAGGGGAAGGGAGGGACGGGGTGAAAATGCGAGGAGGTTTAACTTCAAGCTGTGCTATTACTTTAACAGAACTCTGTGCAAGTACTTTGTCTCTATTTCCTTACTTAGAAAGGGGAGACTCATAGAAGCAGTGGAGACATAGCTGCTCATTTGAGAACAAGGGTTCAGAGGGAAATCTTTGAGAAGCTACAGGTGTCCGGATCAATAAGAACTAGGTATTAGTCATCTGTATAGTCAGAGAACACTTTCAGAGAGAATCATGGAGAGTTTGTCTGAAGTAGTTTATTCTTTAGGACAAATTTGTTCATGTGCTCTGCTTCATCCATAGCAATTTTGAAAAATATCCTCAAATGATTGGATAAATGGAGTGAGACATCAAGTAGACCTCTTTATTTGGAAAACGTTCAATGAGCAGAACTGAAAGACTAGAGAGTGATGAAACAAATAGGCCCAAAAGAGATAAATAAAAAATAATGATGAAAACTTCACATACGCAAACTCAAACAGTCTGAAACATTAGTCGGGATCTTCTTATAACAAAGAGGAACTGGGGAAGTATAGACGAACATTTGTTTAGATTAACTTCTCCAGCATGCATGTAATTCCGAGGTGACAAATGAGTGTTCCACTGTGATACATGGTGAGAGAGGAAAAAGCCTGGCTTACCCCAAAAATGGTACAGATACAACTGTTGGGACCTAGATAGCAGCGAGTTGGGAGACAGATAATTGAGATGTGGTTATGTTACTAGTTAATTGAAACGATGAAGAGTCAAAAATAATGATTCCAAATATTCTGTAGTATCACAAAAAAGTACATATACATATAAGTGTGTTAGTTTCAAATATAAATAAATATTTACTCTTGAAAATACCCGCCAAAGTCACATGTGTGTGGAACTGGAATCCAGGTCCTGTTACTTCTAATAGGTTGTTTGTTTCAACCTCCTTTCATGGTTACTCTTAGGGAAGGTAATTGACTTGCTCAATATCATACTGGGAGCAAAAGTGGTGAATCTAGAATATGAACCCAGATCTTTAAATTCCAAATGTGGAGCTTTAACCAGAACCCCATGACCTACCTATAAAGTCTAAGGAGAACCCCACCCCCAAAATGGTGTTCTGAAAATAGGATAATATTCTATCACATTAAGTAAAATAGTTTCTATTAAAATAGAATTGCACACACATAACAGTACCAGAAATTTAAGATTCAATGCCCCCAATCCACATTCTCTCTACTCTAATAAAAAATCGACCATTTTTTTTATGTTTCCCTTTATTCTTTGTCAACCTGAATACATGATTTTGATTAGAACATAGCTTCTTAAATATAATTTTAGATGATATAAATAATTTAGGAATTTCAATTCAAATATATTTTAAATACTATAAGCACATGTTTTAAATGATTTTCTTTTGGAAAATTTTCCCTTAATTTATATGATAATGCTAGAACTAAAAGGTACACTTAGAGTTCATTGAAATGCAGCAAATTTCCAAGCTTAAAATATAAATACTAAGTGTCAACAGCATGCCTGGTACCTTTTTTAAAATCAATGTATAAAGCATTTGTATTTTTGTAGCAAAATTAGTATTATTTCTTACAATGTTCAGAAATAACTATTTTTATTTATGAACATATTTTTGGTGTGCTGGAATATTCTTTCTCTCACCTTAATAATGCATTTATAATAAGAGAAACAGCTAAAAGAAACTTATATCCAGGAAACTCAAAGAACCTCCAGACTGTTCGTCATTACTCCTCGATAACTTTAATGGGACAAAGTGGGAGGAGATATGCAGATTTTGGAGGAGTGGGGCTCCCTGAGTTTTACCAAGTGCTTTCCTTGGCAAATGAGCCCCTGATGAAACCAATTACAAATTCCCCAGCAAATTCTACTTTATAGTCATTAGCAGTGAATTGAAACACACAGTGGTTTCAAGCAAGAATTCACTTGGGAATTAAGTTCTCATCTGGATCAGCTACAGGCTTAATCACCCAGAACTCCTGACATGAATGGCTTTGCTGCCTGTTTTGAGAACTTGAGAATTAATGCCCCGGATAAAAGAGTTTCCAGGATCATGGGGAAATTGTCTTCACTTTATCATGCCTCAGGCTTGAGCAGCTTGAAGATCTAGGCAAAAAAATTTATTTTATTCTTATTAAGTAAATTAGGAAAGCATTAAAATCCACTGGAGGATCTAAGAGTCTGTATAGTTCAACCGTAACATGTTGCAGGTGTGGGGACTGTGGCCCAGTGAGATTAAGGCTGGGCCCAGCTGCAGGTCTGGGATCAGAAGGATCTCAAGGTCCTATTCAGTTTTCTTTCCCTTAAGGTGGGGCCAAGATGGTGTGTGAATATCTGTTGTCAAAACGACAAAAGAAAATGATTCTTTCATTTTTTTAACACCCCTTCCTTTCTTTCTCTCTTGTGCAGCTTCGTTGTGTTGAAGATCTTCAGACAATTCAAGTAATCAAGATTTTAAAATATGAAAAGAAATTGGCCAAAATGTGCTTTTTAATGATATTCACCTTCCTGGTCTGCTGGATGCCTTCTATTGTGATCTGTTTCTTGGTGGTTAACGGTCAGAGACATCTGGTCACCCCGACAGTGTCTATTGTATCGTATCTCTTTGCTAAATCGAACACTGTATACAATCCAGTTATTTATATCTTCATGATCAGAAAGGTGAGCTTTGTAATTAACTGATTGTTTTCCCCTGGGGGTGGGTGGGGTTGGAAACTACAGTATATAATACTTCTACAGAGATAATTCAGAGCAACTTCAATGATAAAAACCCAAATCAAGAATTTCATAGGAATGTAAAGGGTTCAGAAAGAAACAAATACAGAATATCCCCAAAGAAAATAATACCAATTCTAAGATCTACCTATAGAGATTCAAATTTGTTAGATAAAATTCTATTAAAATAAATATTTAATTCATTAGAAATTATTTAATACCTAGTAATAATAATAATGGCTACAAAGTTAATGATACATTTAAAATTCTTCCTGTACTATGCAGGTTACACGCATTATCTTTACAAAGCTCCATAAATATTATTTCTTGTTTTATTTATGGACTATGAATAAGTTCAGAGAAGGTAAATAACTTGCCTGATCCGGGAATTGTCGGTGCCAGGGTTTAAACCTGGTTTGCTTGAATCCCCAAATCCAGTGCTTTTAGCTCCTTGCTTGGGGTAATAGATACTTGTAGCAATCGGTCTGAGTTGTTATTCGCATGCCATAGCCAATGATTAGACAAACTTAATTTGGTTCAAGAAACTTCCTTGAGGTCTGTTGGAAAGCTCATTACCTATTTCTGTAGTAGAGCGGTTTCGACTCGATGGCGGTCAGGCCTGCCCATGGGAGCCCACAGTACGATTAATATAAAGCCCCGCCTCTAAGTTTCGAAGTTCAAAGATCCATAAAATTTAAAAAATAAGAATAATGGTTAATTAGTCCACTGAGATTTTAAAGGTAACAAGTCAAAATATTAATAACAGGCAATAATAGTTACTCTGGTGTCTAATGTCCAAGAAGAAGAGGGCACTTTTTTGTAATAACTTTATTACATTCTGTGCTAATTCTCCCTCTCTTGTCATATATGCCTTTTTTTCTTTGAGTGTTGTTGCCTTACCCTCTTCATCAGCTCATTCTCACATGGCTTAATCTCCTTTTGCTGATGGTCTTTCTCCCCCTTTCTTGTTACTTTCTGTTTGTCTATTTCCTTTAACCCAGAGATTTTAAACTTGGTCCCAAAGAATCTAAGAATTCCTTCAATTGGCCTCAGGACAGGCAGTGAAACTCTAGAAATTGTTTATAAAACTTTTTGAGTATGTGCACAGGTGTAGTTTTCTAGTGATATGGATTATAATTTTAATTAATTTTCTATAGGGGTATAAGATATTTTAAGGACCATCTCATTAGGCAAATTTTCAGCACATTCACTAACAATTATTCATTTCACCCTTTGTCTCAGCCAATGGGCTATATAATCAGTGCTTCTAAAATTTTAATGTGCATACACCACCCCTGGCAATCTTATAAAAAATGCATGTTCTGATTCAGTACGTCTGGGTGCCCAACATTCTGCATTTCTAACAAGCTTCCATATAGTCCTGATGTTTCTAGTTCCCGGGGCACGGCTAACAGGAAGTCAAAAAGATACGATAAGCAAAGAAAAACAAAGAAATAAGATGGTGATCTTTGTCCTCAAGAAACTTACTATTTATAAGCAAAAACTTTTTGGCATACATAATCTATTTAACCCTTATAATAATATATCTTTAGCACTTAACTATACCAAACAATGGTTTGATGAATAAAGACTCAGACAAATAAATGTTTTAAAATGTGATTATAAACTAAGTGATAACTTGTATATAATTAAGGATCAAAGAAGACAGAAATCACTCTAGCTATTTATTATATTTTGTATTGATAGTTCCTCATCTGGGCAAGTACATGTATTAAACATTTATTTTACTTTAAACAAAGGGGATAACAATTAAATTAACTTTATATGTTTTATTGGTCACGATAGACTGACTACTGTAACTGACAATCCCAGCATTTCAATGGATTAACACAGAAAGAGTTTATTGCTCATTGAAGTCAGAGTCCATGGTCTAACGTGTTTAGTGGAGGAGGTGGGATCTATTCCATGCAGTCGTTTAGAAATCTAGGTTCCTTCCATTTTGTGATGGTACTATCTTTAGACCTTGCCCTCCAAGGTTCTTGCAGAAGGGGAAGAGCAGAGAGGAGCCCCTGGAAGGGGGCTGAGACATATGGTTTCAGTGTTGTGCCCAGGACACAGAGAATAATTATGGGTATTGGTGACATTAGTACTCCTTGCTGTGGCATTTTTTTCCCCAACTGATAATCTTGAAAGAAAAGAAAAAAATTCTTGTCTTAATTAAAGGAACATTAGTGAGTACACCAGGCTGTAAGCTCTGCCAGGAAAGGCGTTGTCTATTTTGGCTGCTTATAATACCTGTAGAGTATAGCAGTGTGGCTGTCACCTAGTAGGTGTTCACTGAGTATTTGTAGACTGAATTGATGTTCAAAATCTCTTAAAGAAATAGATCTAGCTGCCCTCATAGAAAGTGCATGCAAATTGAAGCTATGGAGATTATAAGGTATTGAAATAGTACTATGTGGTCTCGTTAATAAGAATCACGATAAATAAAAGACATAAAACTCCGGGGTGACTACGGTAGATCTGAACATTACCCTATAACCCCACATCCAAATCAGTTAACGAACAAAAAACAAATCAAATTAAACTCAACTAATTTGCGTGAATGTTAATCCAGATTGAGGGCTAAACCTTTACTTAATATTCAACTTTATTTTCTCTCTGCCCAGTTTCGAAGATCCCTCTTGCAGCTCCTATGTTTCCGACTGCTGAGATGCCAGCAGCCTGCTAAAGACCTACCAGCAGCTGAGAGTGAAATGCAGATCAGACCTATTGTGATGTCACAGAAAGACGGGGACAGGCCAAAGAAAAAAGTGACTTTCAACTCTTCTTCCATCATTTTTATCATCACCAGTGATGAATCACTATCAGTTGACAACAGTGACAAAACCAGTGGGTCCAAGGTTGATGTAATCCAAGTTCGTCCTTTATAGGTAATGAAAGATGGGGCCTTGAATCGGATGCCACTTGTAGACTTCTATTATAAGGAGTATTCTGGAATCCCCATTCTATCTATATAATATCAACAGAACATTCATGGCCCAACCAGAAATCTGAATCGCCCGTATGCTCTCTGGCCTCAGGAAGCGATAGAATAAGAATAAATTATTTTAACTCAACGGGTGCTTTACATAATGAAAAACCACTTGTGGCACAAGATGGGCATCTGGCACCATCATCTTCTAACATGCTGGAGATTTTCATTTCAAATATATTTTTTAAATGACTATATTTTCCAAGGCACATAATACATTTTTCTCAAAAATACTTCACTGTAAAAATAACTTTGTCTCATATATATGTGTGAAATAACTAGAAGATATTGAATTTTCTGTTGTGTTGTGCTCTGTTCATTGTCATGTCATATGTCTAGTTTGACCAACTCAAATTTATCAAGGAGATAATTCTACAATGAAAAAGGAGTATCAATCCTCTAACTTTATCAGAAACAAAAGACTTGTATGCATCGTATGACAAAGAAGAGCTTCAGTTAATGTGCTCCTGAGCAAGCTCTAGAAGATACTGCTGAGAAGTGTGATAGCAAAGAGAAAAGAATGATGAATTTTAAGGTAATCATGGTGTATAATGACACAACAGTGGAAAATGTACATGGTGAAGATGGTGTTGATGGCAGAATGGTATCTCCAACTATTTCGTTTCAAACATGAGCATGGCAGTATTATCCTCCTCTTTTCATAATGTCACACAATTTTGCCAAGAGTTCTGGCTTTAGAAAAGGAGTTCCAAGTAAAATAACAAACAAATTTGGAGGGAGATGAAAGTTAAGTGTTACCCTGTTTTGTGCATCAGTCAGTCCACTACATAATTGATGGTCAGTGTTAGTGAAGAGGCCGTTTTTCCATGGGTCATTGCTTGGTCTTGTAAGAGACCAGATTATGCTACCCCAAAATATGCCTCTTTGGCATAAGAATTATTTTGAGCCGAAGACAATTGAGAAGAAGCAGATACAAGAAAATCTCTGCCTATCCCATTTGCCTAAAAGCAGGACTTAAGTTCACAAAGACATCCTCCTCCTCTCTCCACCAGGAAGGACAAGGCTGATCACCAGAGACAACTTTAGATCACTATCAGCCTGGAAAACAGCACCAGAAGAATCTACATAACAAACTCCCATATATTTGCTTCCCAAAATTTACTGCCCCTACAGACTCAAATTCTTTTGCTTTGTCTTGTCACTTGTCTAAAATTTTACTGTTCTTTGTTGAAGATGTATAAGCCGGGGAGTTCTAAGCCAGCTCTTTGAGATTCACTCATTCCCTGGTATCTCCCATGTGTATATAAAATATACATGCTAATAAACTTCTGTTTGTTTTCCTCTTGTTAATCTGTCTTTTGTTATAAGGGCCCCAGCCAATGAACCTAAGATGGGTAGAAGGAAAAAAATTTTTTTCCTCACCTACAAACTAAACATAGATTATTAGAACTCAAGGATTTTTTTTTTGACAATACAGAAGAGAAACAAAGAATCATTTTATTTTATTGCCTAATTTTTATTTCTTAGATGACTCCTAGTGTTGCATCTTCATAATCATGTCTGAAGGACTTCTGACTCCATCATCCTATTGAAGAGGGAAGAACCAAAGAAAACATTTTCACTAAATGTACTTTTAAAAATCAAGTTTATTGCTGGTTCTGCTGCAGTATGTAGTTGAAGAATAAGTTACTAGATTGCTTCTGAGGGTCTGAAATGGAATAATATAATGGCTTTGTATTTCTATAAGAGTTATCTCCCGTGGTCTCCTTTCTACTCTCTTTTATACGTAGACATTTAACTTACAAATAAAACCTTTTACTATCCTTTACTTAGTATGGCATTAGCACCATTTTTCTTATCTTTAGAAAGTAATACTGGCATTTGAAGACTGGAAAATAAAATGGATTCATTTCGTAACTCTCGGAAACTCCCCTGAATTATTCATTTACACTTCTGGTTTTACCAAGTATTGAATCTAAGCCCTGTGGCTAACCACAAGTTCGATTCAGGTAATGAAAAGTGCAGTTAATGTGTTAAACAAGTTGTGATTTTTAGTCCCAGGTGTTAAGACAATCCTATTATGTCTTCTAAAGAAAAAAAACATGATTTGTACCTTCACTGGGGCCTCTGGGGCCTTTTTGAGGAGTGAAAGAGATCTTAGTCACTGCCCTTTTACAACTAGAATGACCTACCCTGAGCGTGCATAACGTGGTGGGGAAGCTGCGTGTTGCAACTTTAAGAAAGTGGTGTTTTTCCCCAATAATTGCAATGAACTTGTCAGAATCCCAGGTTTTGGCACCAAAGATGCCAGGGTGGGAGTCTGCCCTTGGTTGTTGTTGTGCTTTTGGCCGAAGAATGACCAGACATGGCAAAGTGTCAAGTCCAGACTATTATCTCGGTCCTCTGACTCCTTTCTTGGAAAATCACCACCAAGTCCAATACAACAGAGTAAACTCAGGCAGAGAACAGTTTCACAAGAGCAGCTCTTTACTGTAGAGTAAAACAGGTCTGTCTCCACTGGTGGAGAGAGACAGACCAACTCACTCAGTCACTGTCCACTCACTTCCTCACTTCTTGGATTGTTTCCTTTTATTATCCCAGTCTAGGGGAGGGCTCTTGGAAAGTGTAGGATATTATCACATGATCAACAAGTGTCCTCAAAATTCCATCTGCGCATACAAGCTCCCTCTAAGAAAGCCTAGTTGGGGCAGTGAAACGCAGGGCAGATTCAAGCTAATGGTATATTAATTACCCTTAGGTTACTCTAGGTCACTTTCTAAATCCTGTCATGCATGGGCTGGGGAAGTCCCAGACTGATAAAGCATTCCTTCCTTCCCCATGGGGTAGCAGTTGCTTGAGATAGAATTAAGGGTGGAGCAGCACCAAAATGGAGTGCCCACTCTTATCCTTCTTCCCAGAAGGAGCAATTGCTTGAAACAGCACCAAAACAGGGAACCCTTGTCCCGAGAAGAGCCAGAGATCCTAAATATCTAACAAACACACAGATTTTACACTGAATTTAATTATAAGCTGACAACAATCTTCCTTAATTAAACATGGTGATGGAAACATGTTTTTGATCCTTAATTTTGGCCACAGAGAAATCAGGCATTTGCTATCTCAGAACCATTATATCACCTGCTCATGAGACTGGGAATTTATTTTAGTACCTCCATGGAGTTTGCAGGGAAACGTGTGTTAGGGTGGGAGCTCACAGCTCGGGCTGAGAAAGAATTCTAGGCACAAACATTAAAATAGTTTTAAAGAAAGAAAGTTTATTTTACTTCCGAAAGGTGGGAAGGGAACAGCAGAAGAGAAAGAAAGAAATGCTGGCCCCGAGGTTAAGGGGCTCGGGGAGTTTTATGGGGAAAAGAAGTTTATTGCTGTAGACTGATTGGCAGGAGACAGCTGTGAGATGTTAGGGTGTTCGTTTTTTTTTTCCTTTTTTTTTTTCCTCCTTGAAGCTGTCTTATCAGTCTCCTCTGGAATGTGGTCTGGCCAGTCTGGTCTGGCGAGGATTTACATTCCTTTTCTGTCTGTTCACCTCTTTTCAGAGTCCAGAGTCAGAGTCCAGGGAACCTCACAGGCTCAGCTCTTTCCAAATGCTGGAAGAACAGTCTCCGCAGGTGGTTAATCTTAAAGACAGTGAGCTGAGACCCATGTGGTTAATTTTAAAGACAGCGAGTTAAGGTTCCTGTTGTTAATCAAACACAGGACAGCAATCGTTCTCTTCCCTTTTTCTGTTAGTTTATTAACAAGGCCACCTTTCAATGTCCTGTATTTTGGAAGTAAGTGATCCAGTTCCATGGCCTTCTCAAGTAGTCCAGAAGTCTTGGTGACATGTAGTGCCTAAGTAGGTAGGTAGTACCCATGACTATTAGTGATCCAAAGAGAAAGAGTCCTTTCTTTATCACCTGTAAAGACAGCAAGAACTCTCATTTCATTTGTCCAGAGATAAAATCTTGAAATAGACTTCATCTTTTTTTTTTTTTTTTTGAGACAGAGCCTGGCTCTGTTGCCCCGGCTAGAGCGCCATGGCATCAGCCTACCTCACAGCAACCTTAAACTCCTGAGTTCAAGCGATCCTCCTGCCTCAGCCTCCTAAGTAGCTGGGACTACAGGCATATGCCACCATGCCTGGCTAATTTTTTCTCTATATATGTATTTTTAGTTGTCCAGATAATTTCTTTCTATTTTTAGTAGAGACGGGGTCTTGCTCTCGCTCAGACTGGTCTCGAGCCCCTGACCTTGAGCAATCCACCTGCCTTGGCCTCCCAGAGTGCTAGGATTACAGGTGGGAGCCACCGTGCCCAGCTAGACTTCATCTTAAAGGACAAAAGAGTATACAATTTCCTTTTTGTTCTTTAACATGGAAACAGCAATCTAATTGCATGACCACCAGACAAAGAATTGATATGGTCAAGGTAAAGTCAAGAATTGCAAGCTTCCCTCCTCCCTTTCTCCCAGGAAACTCATGATTCCAGGTGTTCTGTATGAGGAATTCTTAGCAGTCAACCTTTGTGCAGCCATAACCCCACGCTCACCGCCCCCGCCCCCCACAGTTTAGAAAAAGAGCTGTGAACTCTGTCTTAGCAGAGCAGCGAGCTGAGGACACAAACAATTCAGTCACTTCTCAGACAAAGTCTCCAAGAAGAGTGGTGAGCCTGGTGGCTCTTGTGACTGAGAAGACAAACTCCCCCAAAGACTTTCGAACAACACGCCTTTGCCACCAGCAGTAAAATGACAGCCCGAGGCTCATTCTAATCCTGGTCATGTGCACTCCTGGTCATCCTCACCATACTTGCTGTCCTGCATTCTAACTGCCTGTCTCTTTGACCCTTTTAGACTTTTAGCTCCTTTTAGCTCCAGGGATGCTATTTTATCCATCTTTACATGGATAAATCTTGATTCCTTCCAATCCATTCTTCACACAGCAAAGTAATCTTTCTAAAATCCAGACCTGAGTCTATGAGCCTCCTTGGTCTCCCCGTTTCTCCCAAGATAGTGTTCCAGATGTTTAAGGCTCTACTTACCGGTCCAGCTTCCCCTCTGGCCATTCTTACACACGTGCACTGCCTTCCAGCTCTACTGCAGTCCTGGCCTTTCCTACTTGGGCACGTTACTCATGTTCTTCCAGCCTCCCCTGTCCAGTCCACTGCCGTTCTCCCCAGAGCAGGTCATCCCTCTCCACTGTCTCCCCCACTAGCCTCTGAGCTGTGTGAAGGATAGGGACAGTGTTTTGCTCATCACCACCGCCACTCAATGTCTACGCACTAAACAAAAACTATTTGTTGTAAAATTCC